GACTACATGATGCACTGGATTAGAAGGAACACCAAAATGTGTAAACATATTGCACATACACACAATAACATATTCTGTACACATTATCACAGGAAATGACAGGTATAGTCCCGGCTGATTGTCAGAAAGCAAATGTGGTACCAATATACAAAAAGGGGTAGTACACCGGGTAACTATAGGCCAGTCATCTTAACATCAATAGTGTGCAAAATATTTGAAGGGACTACATGCAGGAATTTGTGAATAAAACTGGCACTATAAGTGGTAACCAACATGGCTTCATGAAGGATCGTTCATGTCAGAGCAATCTATTAACATTTTATGAGGAAGTCAGTATTAATTTGAACAGAGGAATACTAGTAGACGCTGTGTATCTGGATTTTGCTAAAGCATTCCACACAGCTCCCCACAAACATTTAATTCATAAACTGAGAGCTATTGTTCTGGATAAAATTATATACTCATCGGGTAGAAAACAGGCTGCAAGAACGGATCCAGAGAGTAGTAATAAACGGGTCATTTTCTAATTGGGCAAAAGTTGTGAGTGAGGTGCCCTAGGATTCGGTCCAGGGACCGATCCTGTATATCTTATTCCCAAACGGCATAGAGATTGGAATAAATAGTTTGATTTCAGTTTTTTGCAGACGATACCAAACTATGTAGGGCAGTAAACTCTAAACATTGTTGAAAAAGGCAAGGTTATGCACATGGGAGCTAAGAACGCGTGTGCAAACTACTACGTGGGGGCTGCTACATTAGGCAATTCGGACATGGAAAAAGACCTGGGGGTGCTCATAGATCACAGATTTTGCAATAGTATTCCAACCAAAGCAAACAGGCTACTGTCCTGCATTAAAAGAGGGATTTTAACAAGCGAATTATACTTCCACTTTATAAATAGAAGCCTTGGTTATGAAGACTGCCTCTGGCAATTAAACTTATCCACTATAAAAAAGAGGCACTTAAAAGGGGACCTTATTGCAGTCTTCAAAATCATCAAAGGGGACTACAATATACAGAACAAGTTGTATACACCAAGAACTACAGTATATTGAGGACACAAGGACACAACAGGAGGCTAGAATAGAGGGGGTTCAATCTTAGACTGCGAAAGGTTTTTTTTTTTACTGTGCGCGTAGTAAAAATGTGGAATTCCCTTCCACAGTCAGTGGTATCCGCTGATAGCGTTGATATATTCAAGAAACTTCTACATGAAATTCTTCTTTCACTACACATACAAGGATATGGGAAGTGTTAAAGCCATATACAGTATATATGTATACAGACAAACAAACACATACACACATAGGTTGAACTGTGTGGACCTTTGTCTTTATTCAACCTCACCTACTATGTTTCCACTCCAAAAAAATGCATTACTTAGTCAGCTCTTTCTACAGAAATTATTCTATCATCAGCTAAGTAAATTAAAGATTCAACAACATTTTGTGACTCATATATTACAGTTCATAGCTGTTAACCTATCCTTAGCTTGTTAATAATGTAATCAGCGCAGTTCTTTCTTGGACTCTGAACTTTACTATATATTAAGGAAGAGCAGCAAACAAGTGACGGCTGAAAACTATGCTCCATGGCATGCCTCATTTTCTGGTGTACCTTCTAGAGCAATCAGAAATCATGGGAGAACATACTTCATACATGAGCTAACAAAGTGACTGCTGGATCTGACTGGTCACTGAGGCACTCTTATTGGACAGAGGGGTGACAGTTGGCAGGGACTGGCCCTGAATTCAGGGAATAGTGATGAGTGAATCGGTTTTAAAAAAAATGGGCATATTGTAAATGTTGACACTAAACTCAGGAGTTATATTTTCAAAATACATTCAAGTACCATAACTATTAACAATACTGTACCTTATTAGTGCATCACACAGATCCTCAAATCATCTCTGAATTGGTGCTGAAACTGTGCTTCCTTCTGGAGGGTGGCTACTTTTGTTCTCCATGGTCCCTGTGTAAATGTGTATTGTAAAGTAGCCACCACTCCAAGCTCGCTCCTGTGATAGACTACAATCTCAGTACAAGTTAGTAAACTAAACATGATATTGTAGTCCATCATGGGAGCGAGCTTGGAGAGGTGGCTACTTTACAACACACACAGGGACCATGCACTAATAAGGTACAGTATTGTTAACAGTTATGGTACTTGAATGTATTTTTTGCTTTTGGCATTTTTTGCTCTTGGCATTCAAAAATATGATAGCTTCACTTTAAGTCACACTCAAAGATCCAGCTGTCTGTGACTGAGGAAGGCTTGGGATCCCCAAGGAAGCCAATAAATAATAAAAGGTCATAGAACAAGTGAAAGAAGGTAAACAGAGAATGCCTCTCTGTGGTGCCCTATGAGAACAGAGCAAGCCTTAGAAAACCAGACACCGCCAAATAAATATGCCCTAAACTGTTCAAAAATAAGTGTTTAAAGTGAGCAGTTTATAAATAAAACATATAGATCATTTTGCAGAAAACTGTTCTTCTCTAATTAAAAATATTTAATAGCTTATTTGTGACAGAAGTCCTTAAAAAAGTGTACAAGACAATGAGTGAGTCTTGTTACTTGGATGCTGAAAATCTAAATTTAGCTTGATGAGTTATTACCTAACTACATTATTGTAACCACATACTTCCTCCATGTAGTTACTAAGAGCTGCAATAAGCTCAATCTACGATATGTGGTCTTGTATGTCCAAATACAGGAAATACATATAAAAAGGCTTAGATTGCTTGTGACACTCAGAAAGCAGTTACTATTCAATGTTACCTTAACACTGTTTTTGAATTTAAAAATCAGAAAGAAGAAAAAAAATAGGGACAAAACATAAAAAGCTAAATTCTCACCTGTCGAACTCGAATGTCAATCTCAGATGCCCCTTTTGGAGGAAGCACCACCTGAGATCTCAGTGTCAGTCCTTCGAACTCCTCCTCCATTCCCATTTGTTGAGCAATCGCTTTCATGGTAGGATAAAAGATTTCATCTCTACAATAGATACCCACCATTACATAATTATATAATGTGTCTAAAATCACAGACGTATCAATATTAGTCAAAGAAACACATTTAAGAGGCACTGGGGTTTCTGGGCTCACGCAAATCGTCCAGATGCAGGAAAGTTTACAAAGCTCACTGGATCAGGTAAGGCAGCTCCAAAACAAAGTAGGCCTCCCTTGTTGGGTACCCAGAAGATTTGCAAAAAGATTTACTTGTTGGGTACCCAGAATGTTTAGAAATAAAGGGTGCCAAACCAAAAAGTGAAAGAGTCCACAAGTGCCTTTAATTGTTCCTAAATCGATCAAACAAAAATATTCAATGCGTTTCAGGAGCAGCAACATTCCCCCTTCCTTTGGGCTTACAATTGGTTAAGAACTTGATTAGATTTAGAAGATACTATAACCTAATGGATCTCTATATAATTTGATATTTAGAAAGGCTGCCAATTATAAAAGGTAAAGAAGCGTTGCCTCTGAAACCCATTGACTGTTGTTGATTGAACTGTGATTAAAGGCACTTTTGGACAAGAATGTTTTTCAAGTTGCAGGGATGTTCAGATACCAGTTCAGATACCAATGCCGATACTTGGCATTTTCACAAGAACTACCAGGGTTGCAGAGGTTGCAGCTGGGGCCTTGCTCTGGCGCTCCACCACTGTTCTGAAATCATTAGTCGGTATTGTTTTGGAAAAACTCTCACATGACAATAAACAAAAATGTACTTGTATCTGTGAGTACTTGGGCAAGTATCAGTACTTGAAAAAATGGTATCAGTGCATTCCTTATATGTATTTAAAAAAAAATCATACATTAAAACAGGGATGCACAAATCCCAGGAGCTTCGTATGCTCCTTACAAATGACAGCTGCCTCCTAACTTTTTAATTTTTCTCTAGTCTAGTCATGGAGCTGGAAAAGTATCTGTACTTGTACTTGTACCGAGTACGGTACTTGGTATCTGAACATCCGAGCTGGGCATAAGTTAAATTTTTGAGTGCATTGGCTATATCAGCACTTAAATGTTTCGAGCCTTGCCATGCACTTTTATATATTGTACAATATGATAAATGACAGTAGGTAAGGTTTTTGATGTGTAATAGATTGTGGTCAGGCTGCAGAGCTGCATTTAGCCCTGCCTAGGAATACTGTTGTTCTTTCAGCCCTGTGCTTTGTACGTAGCACACATTAAGTTTTATAAAGATAAACAAACTTGAGACAACTCAAGATAGATGATGCCTTTAGTTGATCCCAATTCAAAGAGCATTCAATTTATGGACTGAGCGATTATGATGCCAGTTCATATTCTTGTTCAAATTAATGAGTGAGCATTCTGTAATGTAAAATGTAATTTGTCTGGCTGAATTTGAAGAGAAGTCTGGAGAACTGGTGCAGCACAAGAGTAAACCAAGTGCTATGAAAAGTTAAAAGAGTGTACTTAACCAATCGGATTACCTGTACATTTCACAAAACTGTCTATAGAGACGAACAGTGTTTATTTCCGCTACTCTGAGTTTCCTTTTTGCCCAACTTTCTTTAAACACTTCCAACTGTTTCCACAATGTTAGAAAGGATCTCAGCTGTCTGTATTCTGAAATTGGATCTTGGTGTGATTGATCCATTTGGGAGCTTCTGGACACTGGCTGTTCTTCCCCTGCAGGTGGTCTGTCAGTCAACATCTAGAAATAAGTCAAATTGTGAACAATATAATTTGGGCGAAAATAATTCCATGTGACTGAAAGTAATGTGCATGATAACATTTTTAATGTAGTACAAGCACAAAAAGTTATGACGTATCACATAATGGGAAGATGTGCAGGGCACACCTTTAGACAACATGTTGGGTATATATTTGCTTTTATGCTTCGCTATGTGTAATGATCAATGTATGAAATAAAAGCCACACTTATTATATTATGCAGGTTTTACATAGTAAAAATGTAAAGCAGCCATTGAAGATCTTACAACTGGTACAGGACCCAGCAGACCAAGATGACAGGGGCTTTCTGACTGCAGAAACATTTATTTATAAAGCACCAACATTGTAGATCATTTGCGACAAAGTATTAAATATTTACTTCAGGGATCTCTAACAGCAAGCAAATCCTATAATAGTTTTGCTATCATTCATTCATGTTATTCATATAGTAAGGCACCTCACTTCCACTGTACATAGTGGAATGTAAATGGCATTGCCAAATTGACTTTTTGATAATGCCCATAGATTTGACACTTCCCCAAAGTTTCTTTACATCATCCTTATTAACTAGCAAAAGCGTGCTAACTACAGGACTAAGATAATTACAAAAGGGATGTTATACTATGTAGTGATGTGTACATGAAGAAGTAAACAGACATTTGAATAGGATTTGGAATAAATAAAAATTTCTTCATTCTCGTGATGAGGATTGGGGAGGGACTTTTGGTCCTCACTTCCAACCCTGAGGCCTGTTCAGGAGCAGCACCATGTTGAGGAAGGTGAGACGCATCTTATTGCTGCCCATACCATTACACAGTAGAAAGATGTGTGGGCAATATTCCTAATATTTCATAGAAAATGTATGGAGGGACTGTAAAAAGATGGATAATAGCATGTGAAGATCTAGGATGAAGGTATTCCATCTCAGGATGGAGGGGGGACTCTTGCCTCCCCACTTCCACTTCTGAGTCCTGTGCAGGAGCAGCACCATGTTGAAGGTGAGAAGCACCCAAATGCTGCCCATAACACTACACAATAGCAGGGTGCGTGGACAACATTCCTGATATTTTCTAAATAGTTATTGGTGGATTGTAAAATGATGGATGATAGCATCTAAGTTAGAAGTATTAATTCTGAGGATCTGAAAAGAAAATAACACACAGGCAAAGCTAGATAGGAAAGTAAAAACACAGTAACCTACAGCAGATGATGAAAATAATTCTTAGAGTATTCTGTACTGAGGATCACTTCTCCCCCTAAATCCTTAGTACATGCCTTTCTGTTAATATTTTTACATGGCTTTATGGTGTTGCTTCATGGCCAAAAACCTAACCATGTCAAAGGGTCTATCTATGTGATAATAATAATACGGTCTATCTATGTGATAATAATAATACCTTCATAGCTAAATCCAGAAATAGCCGCACTCCAAGGGGTCTTCACCAAAGTCTTTATGGAGCAAATACTGTAAAGTTCCTCCCCATGTATGCTTAACCTCTAAAGTGTTTCACCATTCTCTATGAGTAAGCCGGAATGGTAAAAGGCATTAGAGGTTGAGCATACATGGGGAGGAACTTTACAGTATGTATTTGCTCCATAATTAAAGACTTTTCCTTTCAGGGAAGACCCTTGGAGTGTGGCAAATCCGGATTTATCTGTTATAGGCGATGGTGTGCTTGTTTGCCTGCACCTGGGATGCAATCACAGTGCAAGCCGGTTTTGGAATCTGAGCGGTGTTTGCAGTGAATTATCTAATAATCCCTTTGTGTTTTGATCCCAGCTCACCTTTCTGTCATCCAGGGTTCCTTCAATAGTGAAGGAAATAAAGTTGTATTTGTTTTGAAGTATGTCCTCCATTAAGAGATGAACCCCCACAAGCTCTCCATGAGCCTCACTACGTTCATGATCCGTCATGTCACACAGGCAAAGCTAGATAGGAAAGTAAAAACACAGTAACCTACAGCAGATGATGAAACATCAAAACTTTCATGTCTTTGAAAAGTGGTTTGAATGAATTAAATGTAAATGCAGTTTATATACATACTAGGAAGCCGTGATTACCCACACACAAATCCTGGTCAATTAAAAAAAAAAAATAGCATCATTATGAAAGTCAGACAATCAGCATTTTCAGAATGAGAAACGGACAATGGTAGCCTCTATGTTTCTCACAGGAAAGTTACCTTTAAGGCCTATACTGTTCTTAAGGTGATATTATTGTCAAAATGGTTTTTAAATATATCAAATGCTGATTCAATCCTGCACAATAGATGCTGCTCCTTCATGTTTAAAAGTTTTAGTTTCATAAATCTGCTGGTCTCCTGAACACTGATCCTGATACCCTGTTTGAGGGTGGTTCTTTTCCCTTGCGGGGCCCTATGGAGCCACCCTGTGTGTGTTAGTGAGCTGTGTGTGTGTCTCTACAAACACACAGGCATAGTAAGGAAAACCACTCTCTTTCCCCCTTCTCCAAGCTCGTAGATGGAAACCTGCTGCAGATTAAGCTGTCCCTTCTGATCTTGTACTGCACAGGAAGTTCAGGGAAGTGGAGCTGAGCGAGTTAGAGCCAGCTGTTTGGAAACATGATGCCCGTAATTGCTTTGGTAAAGGTTTAAAGAAATACTTTGCTGGGCAATGTATAATTGTTTGATCTGGATTCATTACTGAAAAAAAGCTTAAGACTTTAATACTACTTTAAAACTAAAGTTTAATCTTCTTATATGTTGAATTCCCTGGGTTCCCTATTTTCCCCCATCATTAACATGCTAATGAAATGATAAATTACAGCCTTTGCATTTTAAATACATAACTTATTTTAGACCCAGTGATGTCATATTTGGGTCTTTGTACTATTCTATGCAATACAAGCAAATAATGACTGGTGGGAGGGGCTGGCAGGGTGCTATACATAGTTTCCTGAAAACATCACACTACTCCACTGCAAGCAGAGGGAGGATCTATGCAAATACCAAACTGTCTCCATGGACAGACATCGGTCTGGAAGAATTGATATTCCTAGTCAGACTGTATTTGCATGCAGACTGCCCTAGTTTATTCCTACATGTGATGCGGAACCAGAACTGAAATCCTCTGAATAAAAGGGGCAGGCCGGGGGCAGTAATGCTGGAGAGGAATCAAATAGATGATACTGGGTGTCCTCTAGCCAGGAAATCTGGCAGCATCTGTCTAACTTGCTGCAAAAATGTATGCACTGCCTTGTGTTGTAAATGACATGGTGATTTCTTTAGAGAAAAAAGAAAGCGGCTTGATGCACTGGTAAAACAAGAAAGCCAATGTACACTAGCTGCAATACTGAGTTGAGTATATTGACAGAGTTCACACTCCCCTGCTGAAACGTGTTTAACCAACTAGGACAGACACGTCACGGTGCTATGGAGAAGTAAACAGAGAAGTTATGTGTAAAGGAATGTTTAAGGCTGCATTCACACCTGACCGTTTTGTAGCGTGTCCTACGCTCGATGAACGCGCTACAAAACGGTCAAAAAAATAAATAGCATTGTAGTCAATGCCCTCGTTCCCACCTAGGCGTATTTCCGCCCGACCCTAACGCCCTACAAAACGGCCCACGCCTGAAAAGGTCCCGGGACTACTTTGGGCCGTTTTGTAGGGCGTTTTCCATTGGGATACAGCCAAGTAGCCTTTGGAATCGCGTGACGGTCGCGCGACTTTTTTACCGCGATTCGCGGTAAAAAACCCGCGTGACGGTCGCGCGACAGACGCGCATATTACAATACGCCTAGGTGTGAATGGGGCCTAAACCAAAAGTATTATCAATCATTTATCAACCATAGAGAGGTTGCTAGTTCTGAAATTCAAAATATATTTTGTATTACTTTTTAATATTAGTTATACTTTTATTAATACATGTTAGCTATTCACTGTGTAATTCATTCCTTCATCACCCCCCTCTTGCAATACATTTAAATACTGCTGTAGAGAATATTACTTTAAAGGAGAACTATGGGGTTAAGGCTTTTCCCCATAGTTCTCCTTAGGGTAACGGGAGGACACAAACTAGCGACCTCCCGTCACCCCAGGCTCAGTATACCGCGAGCTGTATACTGAGATGCCGCAGTATACCGTGATCTGCTGCTCGCGGTATACTGAGACACCGCAGCTGAAGCGGATCCCGACAATTGTGCCGGGATCCGCCCAGCTGCGTGACTGACAGCTGGCTCTGCCTAGCTAGAGGCAGAGCCAGCTGTACCTGCCCCCTCGCCCGTCTGTTCCGCCAGTCAGTGCTGGCGGATCGGAGGGGGGAGGGGGGAATCCAGCCCCTCCTCTGTCACGGCAGAGAGCCCTGACAGGATCGAGAGGTGAGCGAACGTGGGTATGTGTTCGCTCACCTCCCGATCTACTGAGCCGACCTGTGACAGTCTCATTGTCACAGGTCGGCTAGAACTATGAGGTGAGTGAAAAGCACTCACCTCATAGTTCTCCTTTAAGAGAATCTTCCACTAGGAATAAGGTTCATGTTCCCAGCTACCATGGGTTAAGGTGAATCCTGCGGGTTCGAGATTCACTGTCCCAGAAAATGTATGCAAAGATTCCCCTGGGAGAGCTGTTTTAACCACTTGCTGTCCCGAGCAATGTTTTTAATTTTTGTACACACATGATAAAATCAGAATTTTTGGCTAGAAAACAGCTTAAAACCCCTGGAAAATTACATATTTTCTTAAAGCAGAGGCCCTGTAAAATAAAAAATGCTAGTTGCAATTTTTTATGTCGCACAATATTTACACACAATATTTATATGACACAATATGTTGCAAATGTTTATCAAATCAATATTTTAGAACAGACTATAATACTAAATTTTTTGGGTAAAATATAAATAAACGGGGTTACGTCATGTAAGTAGCTACCAAACCTGTCAGGACCTAAAACTGTGAGCCCGTGAAATCACAAAAGACTACAATACCCAAAATTGCCCATATGCTTTTACTGCTCATCAGTTTAGTGTTTACAGTGATTGATGGCCCTAGAATTATTGCTTTCACTCCAACATTCATGGTGATATGTCATAAGTGTGGAGAAATTGTTCTTTTCTCGCGTAGGCATACCCGACGCATGTTTGCCTTTTATGTGCATGTACATAAAAGGGACATTGGGAAAAAAAAGTTTGTGTTTTTTTTTTAATATGTTACTTTAATTTGTTAAGCTTTTTTTCACTTAACATTATTGCTTAACATAGGCCATAACAAGCCCCCTAATGTGATAGCAAATAGGATGTGACAGCTCATCTTGATAAGAGACATCATGGGTCTATTAGATCCCTAATGTCACCCATAGAACCCAAAGAAGCACAGATCATGCTTCACCAGCTTTTTCTCCGGCCACAGCAGCGGGAGAAATTACAAGCTAAATAAGTGATATAATACACATTGCTTCCGCTTTCAGTGATCAGAGGGGAGATCAGCCGCTGTATGTGTACTGATCTCCCTCTGATCGGGGTACACAGACCTACCATGCCAGTTCCGGGTCTGCACAGGGGACAGCAGAGCCTGGGATAGCCGATGGCGGTGGTGGAGGGGGCACACAGTCCTCAGCACCATACAAATGATCAGGCCCTCGTATGTAACAGCCATCGTAAATGATAACAAAAGCACGGCTGCTAACCACTTCGGGTTGCCGCTGTTTATATATGTACGGCGGCCCTAAAGCAGTTAAGGGTAGGCTTAGAAGGGTCAATAAAGGAGCTTTAGCATAAGCCTTCCCCCTCGTATTAAAAGGGGACACAGATCAGCTATAATGTCAGTGTAAGATGCTGTAGGAAAAGCTGCCAAAATGCATAGGGAGAGATTAGAGTCAATTAATAAAGTTGCGCTTTGATTCTGATTGCAAGGTATTTGGACAATATGTTTTTAAACTTTTGATTTATTTCAAGTTTTTTTGTTTTTTGCACAATATACTTCTACAATCTATGCTTTTCAAATTAACATTTAATAGATGAAAAAGGATTCCCAGCACACTGTGCATTTTCTGAAGAGAGAGCATTGCAGACATTATTTCCTTTTTTCACATGCTTGCTCTAATTGAAACTTTGGACAGGGCAGGAGAGTAAGGGGGATGTGTCACTGCTCTCACTTATTCCCTTATGTGTGTAAACTTCCACTGAAGGCCTCTTTCTAAAACAAAGTAAGGAGAAACTGGAAAATATGTGAAAGGTAGTATAAAGCTCCACCTGGTGGCTATACATGAGATTGTTAAAAGTTTCTTTACAATATTTCACATTTACCTGACTTAAAAAAAGGAAATAACAAATAATTCTTAGAGGGCATTAAGAAATAAAATATAGACACAGCACTAAGTATGAACACATTAAGTAACATGAAATGCTATGTACATTTACCTGCATTTTGTGCCCAATGGTATGGATGCCATGGATTGTCAGTGGGAAGAGTCCACCGTTAGCTAAGAATGTTCTCCAGGGATAAAGCATGAATGTCTACAAAAAGAGAAGGTTTACTTAATTAAATGATGCTCAGACTGGGATAGCTTTTTCAATACACTCAATTTTTAGTTTGTGAGGAATGTCATGAAAATTTGCCTCAGGGCTAAAGACTGAGGTTGGCAGAGAATGGGAATGGCTATCCCTACTTTGTGCGCCAGTCATAGGGGACATGCTCACTCTTTAATTTAAAGTAGATACTTCAATGTAATGTAGATGAAGTTCACATTTTATATTATGTCACCATTAGCAAATCATATTATTAAATGGAGTAAAAAAACAATGATATAGATCAGGGGTAGGCAACATCGGCACACTAGCTGTGGTGAAACTACAAGTTATGCAATGCAACACTCTGATAACCACAGACATGACTCCCAGAGTTGTAGTTTCACCACAGCTGGAGTGCTGAGGTTGCCCACCCCTGGTATAGATAATGATGGGTAAACATGTGCACTGCCAAAAAATTTGTTTAGTTTCGTTTTAAATTCGGATTTGTGTTATTTTGTTTTTCGGGATTCGGGTGTGAAAGTCAATTCGGATTCGGAATTCGGATTCGGACGAAATTCGGTAGCGGTAGTTCGAACGTTCGTTTCGTTTTCTGTTCTTATTCGTTTCTTATTCGTTTCGTTCGTTTGCAGCAAAGTGACATTTGAGGGGGAAAAATATTTTTCTCCTTCTCTAATGTCACTTTGCTCCAACGAATGAAACGAATAAGAACCGAAAACGAAACGAACGTTTGAACTACCGCTACCGAATTTCGGAAATGGAAATTCGGATTCGTTTGCAATCGTTATGTCTGTAATTCGGAATTCGGATACATCCGAATTTCCGAAAATTCGTCCGAATTTCGATTCGGAATGAATCGCACATGTCTAATGATGGGGATCCATGCACACCAAATTCTTGAGGTGCCATGATCCCTAAAGTCTGACCAGCAAACAATTCATAAGAATAGGCCCAATCATTACCAGTATCTAACTCTAGCCATTGAAAGGCTTTTATTCTGTCCATGACCTTATTAAGAGGTTAACTCTGCCTTCCTGCCCTTGTGACACCCATACAAACATAGAGGTTACAAACATTACCAAGGCGAGAAGGCACAAACGACAGTAAAAACACTGTCAGAGATTTCATTCCTTCCTCACTTTACTAAAATGTTTTTGATGTGTCCCCTTTGTAGAGATTGAAGGCATGTTCACAGCAGATCCGGACCAGATCTGGATGCGTTTCTGCATATGCAGTGCGGTGCATTTTGACGTGCTTTTGATGCATTTTGGTGCTTTTTTTAAAGCTTTAAATGGGCTTTCAGGTGTTGTCCAGTGTGTTTGCTTGCATCTTTGTGTTTACATGCGTGTTGGTGCGTTCCACAGCAGAAAAAATAGGGCATGCAGCATCTTTCCCCCCCACACCGGAACTGACTGCATTGGTGTGAACAGAGCCCAGAAATACCATAGGAATACATTAGGATGCATTTGAGGTGCAGACAAAAAAAAACGCTCTGTTCCACATCTGCTGTGAGCAAGCCCTTAGACAGAATAAAAACCTTAGAGAGCCTTTAACCTTTCCCTGTTCTAATCATAATGCAATAAACAGTTTTTGGCTTAAAGGGGTTCTAAACCCTCTGTTTTTTTTGCATATATCTACTGCTAGCAAGCGGTAGATATATGCAAAAAGTAAAACAAAAACAAAAAACGCTTAAAACTTGTCGCGTCTTTGCTGCACGCTCCCGTCCGAGAATCCGAAACTGCTCGGCATCTTGGGGCGGGGCGCATGCGCAGTTCGGATTTTCGGCCGGGAGTCGAGGAGAGACGCAAGGTAAGTCTATGGACGCGTGCACCCGCATGCAGACACCGTGGGATCGGAAGTGTCAGCAAGGACAGAGGAGTCAGTGCTGGATCGGAGACCCGCCACAGCGCTGGAGAGAAGGCTGAAATAGGACAGGAAAGAAGAGGAAGATCAGATTAAGAGACATCATTTAAGGTAAGTGCTGACATTAAGATTGGGGGGAGGGAAAAAAAATTATACTTTATTGTCACTTTAAATTAGGCTTTGATGCAAAATTAATCACACACAATGAAAAACAAAGAGGTACGACGTCTGATATACATTAAGATAGAATGTAACTACTAACTCTGTGACTACGTGGATCATGAGGCTGTGGCACAGGCAGCATTGATGAGAAAGCACTCCTGACTACAGAGTCACTCAGTGCTGTAAGTCCATGATACATGTTGTCAGTTGTTGCTCTGAATGCAGATATATTCCCAGTAGAGAGCAATGCATCCCTATAGAACAAAATACAATATTGTCCTGAAAAAGTATTATTTGTAGACATTTAAGGTTTTCATGTTATTCATTTTGCAAGAATAACTAAAAGCAAAACTTTTTTTTTTAGATTTGGAATGAGTGGTGAATGCATAGTTCAGTTTCGTTGTTGGGGGAGCTTATAGTTGTCCTGATCACCAATGTCAATGAGAGTGAAAGTGAAGGTAAATCCAAAATTTTGAGTTGTCACCAAAACTGCAATAGAGGACACATTTTCCATTGGAGACACTTGTTACTGTGACAATTGTCTAAGAGGGGATTTCCCTGACAAAGATACCCTCTTACTTCCTGTTGAGTCTACAGGACAGGAAGGGAAATCTCCCTAATGAGACTCAAATGATCAAAAGAAAAATACTGATAGTGGGTTTAACCCTCACCTACGCTATACAAAATGGGAAAAAAAAAGTTTTGGCTTTAGATATACTTTAACAGCTGCTACATACCGAATTAAATAGTGGACAGCTGCATCAAACTGCAGGATCATAACCTCACGTCGTAAAAGTAGTACTGAGGCTACTTCTTTTGGATCATGAGGACGCTGGAGGCCATCTATAAGCTTCTGTAGGTCTCTCAGCTCAGCTCCTATATGATAGCCATAAGAAACAGTGTCAGTTGTTTAACTGATTGTTACATTTTAGATACATACTTTATTATCCATAGTCGGGGCATAGGTGCACTATAAATGCCTGGGGCCCAGTGATCCTACCTAGGTACCTTTCACCAACTACTGACTTACCTATTCCTTCTATGCCTCCCCAATCGGCTGTCAGCTCCATGTTTATTAAACTGCTGGAATCACCACATGCATTTCCCAGCTGTGCAAAGCTAAGAATGTAGGAAACGATGTCATGCAGAGCTGCGATAATCTGCAGAGTGCAGTATAAAGCCCGATATGCTGCCTGCAAAATAAAAGAACAAACCATATTTTAGCTAAACAAATTGACTGAAGATTCCAAATCAGGATAAGCTTCAGGATAGATTACAACACATACATAGACTGTCAAAAAAAAACAATTGTTGGAAATATAAAGAAAAACATTTTTAATGACAATTTTCCCAAACAAAACACACTGGTCAACTAAAAAACACACTGGGGAATTATTAAAAAGCATCTGAGACAAACTTTGTGTCAACTTTGTCTCAACTGGAGTGTAGCCAATCAGCTTTTAAATTATCATTTTCGACGCTGTGTGGAAAAACAAAAGATAGAAGCTGATACGTTGCTATGGACAACCACACCAGTCTAGCTAGAACTTTGCTCAGATATGTTTTATTAATTACCCCTACTGAGTAAGCAAACAAGTGTGTTCAAGGATTTAATTGATTAGTACACTGGAGAAAAAGTGATACAATTGTACTAAATTACATATACAAGTAATGCAAGTGCAGTGAAAGCTGATCACCGAGCATCAAGTCCCTAACCAATCGCCATGTTAGTTTATAAAATCTCAATTTAAGAGCCCCTTTTACTTACCTAAATCAGTGGTCAATGTGATGCACCAGGTCCCAAATCTTGTATCTTCTAGTCTCCTTCTACTGGTGCCCACGTCGCTGCCTGGGTAACATGTACATTTCCTATTGGCTGTGGGGTCCTCTAAGACTCCTGAACAGGAAGATTTCCCATCTAGAACAGGAATAGATGGGAAATCTATCAATGCGGACACCAGTTCTGATGACCTTACTGACCACCAAAGATTTCCCTCACTTTGGAGGGATTTCCTCTCACCTTTTCTTGTGGCTATCAGACAGGAATGGAAGAGATATTTCCTCAAAGAGACACAGATGGCATAGCCCTCTGTCTCTAACGTCTCTAACCGGGAAGCCGCACAGCGCATCAAAGATTGCTAAGAGCTCTTAGCAACCTAGGACACTGTGGTCACCCCTGTGCGAGACTGTACACTGAGCTACAAATGCATAGTTCAGTGTACAGAAACAAAATAAACAGTGCTGACAGGCATGTAGAAGCTTCTATTATCGTTTTGTCAGCACCTTATTTTGTTTCTGTACACTGAGCTATGCATTTGTAGCTCAGTGTACAGGATCGCACAGGGGTGACCAGAGTGTCCTAGATTGCTAAGAGCTCTTAGCACTATTTGACGCGCTATGCAGCTTCCCGGTTGGCAGGAGCTGAGCAAGACACTCTGGCTTGTGTCCCTCTGAGTTCCTGGCAACCAGTGTTGTCGATGAGCTGGGCGGGAAACTGTAGAGAGCTGCTGATATTGCAGTCTGGTGTGGCCCCCCCCTTCCAAATGACAAATCAACCACGTACACAACCCTCACCCACCCACAACTACAGCACATCACCTCAGGTGGCGAATACCTTATGGACAGCCCTGCAGGCTTGGCACAACTCCTTGCCGAGGTGAAGTAACTTTTATTCACATGTGTAGGAGTTACATCATCCTTGCCCAGCTAATCAAGAGGCCAAAGACCTAGAACCTGGAAGAAGACTTGAAGCAGATGGGAGCATTGGCTAGAGAGGGAAGCGCATACATTGCAGCGCTGGAGAAGATTGGGTTGGTGGGTAAGGCTACTATAATGTGCTAATATGCTATATTTTGGCTAGAAGCTGCTGGGAGCCGTTTTTTTTTTAAAAAAAGGAAACTTTACTTCCACTTTAACATTGTTGATTTTTTTTTAAACTTTCATTAAAAAAAAAAGAAAATGCAAAAATTCTAGTGCTTTGTTCATGTTGGCGAAGGAGCTCTTTCTTACCAAACTAAGGTATTCGCTGACATTACCGTAGGAGCAGAAGAAGCTTAAATTAAGCAGGGTTCTTTGACCTTACTGACCACTGGTAAATGTACCGTGCTGACTCACATATCCCAGTTCTCTCATACAGCACATTTTATAGGTTCAGTGTTACATAAGGATCCATTCAGCTGAACTTCCTGGAAACCCGTGTCTGCATACACCGCCTAGTAGGCTAAACTCACATGGTTCTATTATTTACCGTCTCAAATATTTTTATTGCTGGTTAGACTCACTAATAGTTAGTTATTTGTGGGGTTTTTAGGCTCAAAGTTCTAACGTATAATTTCGAAAGTATTTAATTCACTACTGAATCACTCAAACTGCTTGATCTAGTCCGTTCTAAGTTCCGTAAAGCCTGTCTGAAAAAAAAAATATTTTTGGAAACTGGAATACATTATGATTTTGTGGTTAACAATAACAGTGTAAACATTCATCTTCCTCTGCTGTTATAACAACATACCTTTTCTGGGAGCATTTTGAACATCCCAAGCACTTCAACTGGGTAGGGAATATACCACAAATTAACAAAAACATTTCCATCGTCTGTCAGCAAAGTGTGTGGACGCTCTTGAAATGTTCTGAAACCCACAAGGAATTCAGTTGGTGACATTCTTCCAGGAAACATTTTGTGAACTACAGCTATAGTTTGCAATTGATAAAGATATACTTCATGTAAATGGGTGTAAACTGTTAAAGGAAAGCAATTACAGTAAACTCTTCATTATCCAGCACTCTCAAGCAACCGGCAAAAAAAAAAATCGAGGACAATTTTTTTTGCCGGTGGCTTGATGCACATTAAAAAATTGTCGGCTGCTCGGTGCACATTAGAAAAATTTCATTAGTAACAATGTATTTAGTTGCGAACTAAATTCTTTGTTTACATCTTGCTGCCGGCCAGTCGTTAGATTCCGCAGTCGGCAGCAGAATGTAAACAATATGGAACAATTGCCAGCCTGCTATTGGCTATTTCAAACTGCAATAGTCAATAGCAGGCTGGCTATTGTACCTGCCCACTAAGCAGAGGAGCGGACCTGAGAGAGAACTTTCTCTCTCAGGTCCGCTCCTCTGCTCAGTGGGCGGGGTTTAACCAGGAGGTGGTTTGCTGCAACTCTCAAGCAACCAGAAACTACAGTCATATGGCACTTACCAATCCCCGTGGGTGCCGTATAACTGGGAGCTTACTGTATGTGAACAAGCAAAGAACTCCAGGGTTATGCAGTGATACCATGCACATATTGGGAAACGTTTACAAAATGTTCACAAAGTAAAAGTTCACTGAGCTTAATAAATAGGGCAAAGCTGTGATACCGTTAATCATCCAATCATTTTTATAAAAATCCTTTTTTTTCCCCTCACACATGATTGGGTATTAAAAGTGAACACAGATTCACCTACATTAATTAAGCTCAATAAACATTCACTTTGTTAAAGCTGGCCATACACCTTACAATTATCTGCAGATTTTCTGTGGTCAGATGGAAAAGGTGCAACAGATTCCTCCATCTACACTTAACTGTAATCTCCACCTGGGCCAATCTGTTGCACTTTTTCCATCTGACCACAGAAAATCTGCAGATAATTGTAAGGTGTATGGGCACTTTAAGCGTGGATCAAGCCCATTATGTGCACTATCCCTGCAGTCAATAAAGTAAAGGCCAAAGTGCAGTACTGAAAAACGATTGGATGCCATTGGCTATTTCTTTGCACTTAAAGGAAATGTTTAGACTTTTTTTAAATACCGCATAAAGGAGAAGCAGCACAATGATAAGCTCACCTCCCCGTCACTCTGCTTTCTTCTACTATCAGCTTGCTTCTTGGCAGCACATGCACTGGTTAGCTCTTTGACTGCTTCTTCCTCTCACTCTCTGCTATACAGGGACTGCAAGACGCTGATACCAGCTCAAATTCAGCTACTTTCAGTGCTTGCAATTAAAATTACATTTACTGATGTGTTAATGATACAGAGCTGTATTGATTTTTGTCTTTTATATCTGCTCAGGGTTTAGCACTAAATCTTTAGAAGGATTGCCAATAATAGGTTATATAAAAGAGGAAGCTACGAACCTGGGATCAGCTTGCGGGGCTTCTTTGATGGGATTCTTTTTCTCCTGAGGCTGTCCTATGATAAAATATGTTTTCTCAATAAGTGGGAAATCTTCCAGAAGCTGCTTTAGGCTGTTGCAGTAAGCAATTATTTGTCCTCTGAGAGAGTGGATAGAGATCCGTTTGCTCAACCTAAATGTTAAAAAGCAACATAGAAACAGCTAGAAAGATGGTGAATCTGTACAATTTAAACCTGCCAAAAACATTTGTGAGCACAGCTTTTCATTGGATTCACAAAGGCTACAGCAAAAATCCTCCCACAACCATTTATGGCCAGCAGGCTTAGAAGGGCCAATAAGGGGGCTCTTGATTAAGCCAGCTCCCTCTGATTGCTAGCTCTTTGGCCAATTAACCACTTTGCTGTTTTTATATTGTGCTTAATATTGCGAGAACTTTTGTCCTTAATTTTATTTTGTGGTTGATTTGAGGTCAGCAGTCTCTTTTAGCTGCTGTCCTGTCTATGGCAAACTTTTTTGGCAGCAAGGCTTTTCTTTAAAAAAAAAAAAAAAAGCGTGCTGTAGCTTCAAGGAGTATTTTTTGGAGGTTGTAATTTATTTTGGGGTATAGTAGTTTTTACTGTATGTTAAAGGGGCTTTTGTTTTAAGGTTGAACTGCTTTTTTTGCTGCAGCTTCCCTTTAAAAAAAAGTTAAGCTTTTGTTTCAGTTTTGTTTTTAGTTTTCATTTATACTTGTGCTCTTTGTCACTAGTAAATGTGGCCCTAGTCTTGCTCATTACAATTGTCCTGCTTCTACCCAGTTTGGCACATGCTGTGTCACCTGCAGTCTCTTAGGCTGGGTTCACACCTGGGCGTTCGACGTGCGTTTTTTAACCTCCCTGGCGTTTTCTTTTTCCCTCCCTTTTTTTCCTCTGTTTTTCGCGTTTTGTTTTTTATAAAACTTCCTGCCGGTTCCTCCCCACTGGGACGCTCGCAAGGGAGGGAACCCAGAAGCCGATTGCGGGCAGTGGCCAGAGGACACAGCAGGGATCGCGGACAAGGTAAGACCTACACTGTGTTCCCGAGTGTGGCTCGGGGTTACCGCTTTGGTACAGAAAATTAACCCCGAGCCACACTCGGGAATACCAATGGATTCTCGCTGAAATCTGCCTCTACATGTGAAAAAGAAGCTCAAGTACTTTTTTGCGCGTAGGGCGTTTTTCAGCGCAACAAAATGGGCTGAAATACGCCCAGGTGGGAACCATGCCCATAGGGATTAATAGGATTTCACTTCTTGAGCGTTTTTTAAGCGCTTCGATCAGCGCTGAAAAACGCCCAGGTGTGAACCCAGCCTTATTATTTTGTAGAAAAACTGTCCATCCTGTGCTCTTTGTAGATTTTGGCCTATTATCCCTGATTAAAACTGTCATGCTACTGTCCAATTTTACATTGCTGTATCCTCTGCTGTATCTTAATTCTTGTAGTAAAATTCCTGTCTGTGCTCTTTGTCTCTTGAAATTTTTGACTTATTCTTGCTTATTACAATAGTCCTGTTGCTGGCCAATATTACACTGGTGTGTCACCTGTGGTCTCTTAGTTCTTGTAGTAAAACACCTGCTTGTACTCTTTTTTTCTCTAGTACGTTTTGGCCAAGTCTCCCTTATTAAAATATCCTGCTGCTTGCTGATTTTATACTGCTGTATCATCAGTGGTCTCTTAATTCTTAATGAGAGTTTGGAGTTAGGAATCAGCCAGTGACAGGAACCTTTTGCATCTACAAGAACAGGGACAGCCTCAGCAAACTACTATCAAATTTGTATCTATCAAGGCTAACTTATTGACACTTCATGAAAAAGCATGTGCCCCTGCTAAAACTACCTGAAAGGGGATTTTTTTTCAAACTTAAATTAATCAGATTGAGGTACTGCTGTATGTAAGCCAAGCTAAAGAAAAAAATAATTCCGCAGCTAATGACAATGTATGCGGTCACTGAGGCTGTCCGTGAATGTTGTACTGTTATGTAACACCATGTAAAGCTTTTTAGGCATTCCTCAAGGATTTGTGTATCTTTTACACTGCTCTAATGGCCACATGATATGACCCTCTATTTTAAAAAAAAGTAAATTGCATTGGTATATGTCCCCATGCGAATGCCCAGCTCTTTTTTTTTTTTTTCGTTCAAAAGGTTTTTATTTGTTTTAAACACAAAGAAAAATTATTACAATAGCACATTCAATGTGGTTTTCCATGGTGTATCAAAAGAACATACAACATTCAGTTGTTCATAGTAAAATGCTACAATCAGATTAGGTAATCCAGAAGGACATAACGTAAACTGCGTAGGTACAAAAACATTGTGGTAAGAAACTATAAGGTTCAAAGGATAAATACAGCGCAACTGGTTTTGCAGACAGTGATAAGGGGTATTGGGGGAGGGGGGTGGCATGTGGAATGGATCAGTAGGGATGGGATAGTTAGGGAGAATCTATTGTTTAGAGCTTCCGTTATGATACAATCGCCCAGCTCTTTTTTTAATTTAGTTTGCCTATTAGTCCTAGAAATGGCCAGAAATTACTGACATTTGCAGTTCACGGAATTGTATTTCTGCAATGTTAAAAGCTTAACAAATACACATACAATTAAAATAGAAAAACTTTAACTCAGTTCGAAAATGGAAATGTAAATTGAAAAGTCTGCTGAAAACACTCAGAAACACAAGGACCAAGAGGCATAAAGGTAACTTACTTCTGGCAGTAATCCTTTACAAGTTCTCTTTTTACTTTTTCCACTTCTTCCTGTTCAATACACAGGATAAAGTCAATATGTTGTATACTGCAAGATGTTATGGTGTGGTGTGTCAATATTTGTTGAGTGCTGAAACATATTATAGAATGTACTAATATTTGTTAAAGAAAACATTTGACAATCCGGCAAACCACATCTAAGTGGTGAGTAGTAATGTCAGTACTAATCATATGTAAACTGAAACTGTATATATCCCTTAGATCTTTATGTAGCATTATGTTTTAACTCATCTGTACTTGTGTGTTACAGAGCTGTCTGGTGAATCCTAACATACACCTCTAGAATAGTTATTGACTATAGGCTCAAGTCGCAAAGCTTTAACACAAGTGACTGCAATTCTTATATCTAATAGGACTCAGCTGAAAATAACTAAATACATATCCTGGTTATCTTTGTGAATTAAGCCTATATGTTTCTACTTATGAAGAAGCATTAAGTAAGCCTGAATGAAGATCATGCACAATAAAGTATTTTAAATATTTGGAAAAAGCAGTAAAAACACTTTAAAACAAGCATTCATTCATATCTGTACCTATAAGCCTTGTGGAAAAGTTAAAGTGAAACTATAGGCAAAATGAAAAATTACATAACTGATACAGTCCAGCGGCCCGCACCCAGGTGACACTATTGGAGGGGTACAAAACACAAAAATTCCCCAGCCTCAGCCTGCCAGCCAGCCTGCAACCAAACAAGTAGCCCTGTCAACAGTATGCGTTAAAATCAGAGGTTTTCGTTGCACAAACTTTTGTTTGGTTGCAGGCTGGCTGGCAGGCTGAGGCTGGGGAATTTTTGTGTTTTGTATTGTTGTAAGCCTTCCCAATGTGCGCCCTGCTATAAAGGCCGGTTATAGATTCATGCATGTACCATTTTTTCTAGTTTGACTATTGGAGGGGTGACACCAAAATGACTGACAGTCACCTGTCACCTACTCTATAAAGTCGGGCACTCAGTCATGAACCGTGAGCCCGACAGTGTCAGGAGAGAGGAGGGGACCTGGCAGCATACCTCATCCCGCCGGGTGAACGTCCCCTCCTCACTAGATGGTCACACTTGCGCGATGACGTGGTTGCGCACGCGCATGGTGATGTCATGCGTGTGCATGATGACGTCACGGCGGGGTGTCACCCGACCTCCGCTCCGTCAATAGCATTAACACATCAACACATGTAACAGTTTTATTAAGGGCTTGTTCACACCAAGAGCAGTAGATGCAATCGCTCCCTAAACTTCCCTCTTCGTTCTGGGACGGGAGGGGGCATGGTGGTGCATTGAAGTCAATGGCACCGAAGCCAGGCCCCCTGCCCAGTGTGATTGGACGGGTGGCAAAACATCGCCCGCATTCCGTTCCACTGCAAACGCAAAAATATTTACTCTATTTTTTGCATTCGCAGTGGAACGAAATGCAGTCTAAAGTTTACCGCGCTCACAATTGCACTGCAGGCGGGGGGGGGGGGGGGGGGGGGGGGGGGGGTTTTGAT